CCCCCGAAAAAAAAAACACGCACACAATTATTGCTGCTGCTGCTGCTGCTGTCGTCACATTGAAAAACGGTTCCGGTCTACGTCCACTACTTTCTGACATCCGTACCGGTCCAACCGACGAGGACGCCTTCCTTCGCCACAAGACTAACCACCCGCAGCTGGTACACCTTTCGATGCTGTGCAGAAAATAATCATCTGTCACCCATCATCATCATCATCATCAACAAGAACAAGAACAAGAACAACAGGGATGGAACAAACACCACCCCCACAACACACATACACACGCTTGGCAAACAACAAGCATCTACGACGTTCATAATCAATCAACAACGGGACTGACTCACTCGAGAAGCCCGATTGATCTGTCCAGGAACCGCTGTTCCGGAAGGAACCTGTAGACCATCGCGTACCCGTAGATGGCCCATGCCTGTCCCCTTGTCCACGTCGACGAGTTGGTATATCCCTGGTAAGTTCCTGCAAAAAGACGGCGCCCGGCGTGAACAAAAAAGAAAAGGAGCGAGGACACAGTACGAGCTAAATTACAAGCATATAAACGGGTAAAACACGACAGCCTCAGCTTTCGTCTCGCGACTTCCAGTGTCGATATAATTGTGCTGCTCCTGGGTGTGGTTCTTGCACAAATCACCCCCAAAAAACACTGCCGACAAAAACACGGACCTGTCTCTATGAGCTCCCCCGTGTCGATGTCGTAGGCCGCCACGTGGTTGGTGCTGTTGTCCTCTCGGACGATGTCCTTCCAGGTCGAGTCCGCGTGGCTGTTCCCAAGACCCCCACACAAAACGGGAGGGGCGGGGCGTGTCTATGGGACATGAATGGCACCATCGCCAAAAAAATCAAATGGAGTCGTCGCATGTTGTTCTCTACTGCTGCACTTCATGCGCAGACACAGTTTGGAAGCTCTCGCCTGCGTCGTAGTTACAAGAACTACCACCCTGAACACCGCCTCAGCAGGGAACACCGCACACGTACGTGGCGCCATGTTCCAAGCTGCAAAAAAATACCTACCCCTACTCCAAGACTCTCTGAGCGGTACACACGAGGACCACCACACACACACCTGCTGACTTACATATCAATTTCTTCCGCGTTTGAGCGACAGAGGACCAACCCTACAAAAACGAAGCTCGCGCTGGTTCCGTCTATCGGTAACTTAACGTTGGAAGGCGAGTGGCCACAAAACACCGACGTCGATGTCAACCGTTTCGTGCCTTTGGCAGCAAATGGAGGCAGCAAATGCGACCGCGCAAAAATGGTCCAGATCGGCGGGTGTCTTTACGAGAAAATGGAACGCGATTCGGAGGACGACAGATAACACACCTGCAACACAAACGGGGGAACAAAAAAACTCTGAATGAAAACAAATTAGCTGCTGCGGCAGTCCCATACATGCGACAGTACAACACGACAACCACCATGCGAGTGCAGATGCAGAGACACGCCTGGAGACGAGGAATACGCCGCGATAGACAGAGGTGGCACGAGCTGCAACAAGACAATGCAAAACATGGGTCGAACGCGGAACCTACAAAGCAGAGCGAGCGCACGACAACACCTGTGTACGTGATTGACGTTTTCCTCTCCACCACATTATTTAGGTCAGTCTCACCCCTCGCCGAGAAAGACGAAAAAAAAAAAAAAACTCTTTTCACGAGAATTGAACCACGCGAGACTGAAAAAAAAAAAAAAACAAGACATCGCAAAATCACTCGAATCAACAACTACAGACAAAGCAGCAGCAACAGCAAAGACAACACCACCCCCACCGACAGCAACATCAGCAGCAGCAGCAGCAGCAGCAGCAGCAGCAATGACAACAGACACTCAAGACTCACCCTGCTACTTCCAACTCGTGGTCCTCTCCGCCGTTGAGCCCCGCCCAGAGCAGGATCTCCAAGTTCATCATCATGTCCACGTTCACGGCGCGGTCCCAGTCAGGCCTTCGGGACGGGTTTTCCCACGACCAGTAAGCAGGGATGTTGCCCTGTTTCGTGGGTGTGCACGTGTTTCGTGTGTTGGCATGAACCGCGCTAGCACCGCCTTTTTTGGGAGCCGTGAAGTTGCTACAAACTTAAGTCTGTACACTTCTAACCTTCCTCGCAATTTCATGCTCCCATAAAAAGCGGTGCAATAAGCCCGTCGTGTGTGTGTGTAATCTTGTTTTTCTTTTTTCCATCTTCGAGCGGGTTTTCGATTTTCCCATGAAACCCTGTCATCCCATGGGTTGAATTCGGCAAGCTCAGTCATTCAAACGAAAAAAACGAGCTACAATTAGTTCGAGTATTTGCCTCAAGAGAGACCCAACGCGTTCACTCGGGGATCCTTCCTGTTAGAAAATGGTCTCTTGTGCTGCTTGTTCCCTCAAGAAGAAAGGGGCTGCTTTTTCTCTCAAGAAGCAAGGGCACCGCGGGTTGACAAACGAGCACACCCAAGCGCACGCACGTAGTGTTCGCACATAAAAACGGGGCGGATTTCTCTACCATTCCCGCACATAACACTGGCCACGTATCATTATTTTCCATCAGGGTAGGGAGATCGATCAGCTCAGTCAGCGTCGTATTTAGCAACGACCACGGACTACCCAGAGACACACACTCACTGAAGCATGCACCCGCACAGCAGGGAGGAGAGCACCACAAAAACGGGAAGGGAATACTCCAAGTACAAAATAAGTCGTAGCAGCAGCAGCAGCAGCAGCAGCAGCAGAGGCATTCTCGCCCTACTGAAGGCCACATTCCACATAAAAAAAAGAATGTATCCGCGAATACAGTCTTAGCTCCAACTGGCGTTACTGATAACTCAGTGTTAGACTTACACAAACTCAAAATAAGCCAAGTCTCCAGTTGGTTTCAATCCACTTACTGAAAATACTTCACCACATCCCTTTCGACTGAGGTTGTATGTCGAACGGGTAGTCTATCTGTGAGGTTATATTTACATTCTAAAAAAAAAAAATCAGACTCTGAACGAACGAACGAACGAACGAACGACTGTGATGACTCACGTCCCATCGGAAACCGTGGAGTGCTTCCGCCCCAGTGAGGACCCTCTGCAGGTATTCTTCCGAGCCGGTCAGCCGGTATCCTAGGCCGAACGAGTTCAATATCTGGGGGAGGAAAAGGAGCAATCAGTTAAGCGGCGGCGGCGGCGGACAAAGCAACAACCGGCGGCAGCGAAAGACCAAATGAAAAAAAAAGAGGCAGGCCGTCCAGGAGAAATAATGGGTCAGACCTGGAACACAGGAGTAGGGTAAGGGAAGGTTGCATACGAAAGCCGATACACACCCTTGAACGACTTTCGGATCTCGATTACTCTGCAGCACAAAACAACCGTGGCGTTGCCAAAAACAGCGGCAGTGGAACCGTCTCGTCGGGAGCTCTCCCAAAAGCGCATAGATTTAGTTTGACATCATCTTCATCGGGGG